GAAAGAAAGAAGGAAGGAAGGAAAAAACATGATTAGAAGGAAGAATCACATATTAAAAATTCCCATGATGGAAGTTTTGGGAACACCAACAAAGCAACACATAAAGTGTGAACATATCCTGACTTATATACAGTCACAGGAAAATAGAACAGAGCTATAACAAAACAATGAATATAAACTAGAAGCTACTAAGTGTAAAGTTATTTTTCTATAACTTTAATATAACAACAGCTTTCTCTAAGCAATGGTTAGGTTCCTTAAAAGTAGTAATGTTTGATTCATCTCATTGTGATGATGCTATAGAGGAGATATTTGAAAAGATTCTCTTATTATTTACTGTATTTATAATAAATAAAAAGTGATAACACTTTACAAAGTGTTATCTTTTCTGTTTCTTAAACCAATATTTTCACGTTTTGGGTTTTCTGATACTGAGGAGCACTTGCATATACAAACCTTGTACGTAATTTCATTTCCAGTTTATATTGGATATTTGTCTTTTCTCATTATAGCAATTTCATTTAAAACCTAATTTCCATGGCTTTCTTTGGTCCTATTGAGATGAGTACTGCATTTTAAGAGAGTTATTTCTGAGCCCCAGTGAGTGTTCAACAATGTTTTCCCCTACCTGCTTTCAGCACTGTTGCAGTGTGAAAGCTGAGATTGTCCTGTAACTTCCTGAGACACATGAGATACAGAAAGGACATCAATCAAGACAATTCCCCATTGCTGGTCCTTTAAGTCCCACCTGCACTTGGCTTCTCATATACTGAATAACAAAATGTGGAATTCTGCCATTTTTCTTTTCTTGTATGTACAACAAATTTGGAAGTAGAAAGTTCCACAGTGTAATGCTATAATGTCCATTCATAAAGCTATACTCTGAAAGTACACATCACGGTTATAAGAAGTAATAAAATGCACGTTGGTTTAAGAAATGTGTGGGTTTTTATCTTACAAGTAAGATTTAGCGTGCTTTGTCTTCCTTTTTACTGATGAGTAAAAGTTATACTATTTCTTTGGTTTAAGGAAAGACTTCATATGCTCACTGTGGTGGATGTTGCAGTGTGTGCCCCAGAATAGCCCCATATTGTGAATGTTGGAAGTTAACAGTTCTCATTCATTGCCTTGAAATGAGGCAACTCTTCCGAAGCAGTCCAGCTCCAGAGTTAGCATTGGAGTCCACTGAGACCTTTGTTGCCTTGTTATTCAACTCCTCCCTTCACCAGGCACCAACTCCTTCTTTCCCTCCCTCTAAGATACGAATCCTGAGAACATTCTTCGGTAAAATCTCACACAAACATACTTCTCAAAGTTTGTTTCCTAGGAACTTAACCTAAGACACTCATCATTTTCCCTGACACTACCATGGCAAAAGAAAAAGAAATACCCTTTCAGTTGCAGCAGAGCTGTGGACAGAATTTCACATGGGTGTCAGATGATATGCACGAAGTACAGGGTATTCATCATATTATAAACATAACAAGGGTCTTTAAATAAAGTCTTGCCTTTGTGCTGAAATATACATGCACACACACATTGTACACTTTTCACATACATCAACAAAAGTATAGTTTTTTCCAAATTTTTGCCAGCCTGATAGATATTACTTTGATTTGCTTCTCTATTTGAGCATGTTTTCATATAATTATAAGCTGTTCAGGTTTTTTCTTTTGTTACTTGTCTTTATGTTCTTTGCATATTTCTGTTGCCAAATTGTATGTGTCTGGATGAGCTTTACTTTCTAGGTTAACTCTTTAACTGTGACCTAGGTTTTGATTAATTTTCCAGATCTAACTTTTGTCCATTGAATTCTTTAGGAATGTATTTTGTCATGTATTCAGATTTGGTCATTTGGTCATATTTATAGCCTTTTGTGGTATTTTGATGTGTTTATACAGTTTTCTTTATAGTTTCAAAGCTTATAATCTTAGCTGTCTGATTCATATTCTCACAATTTGTTTTATAAGACTTTTATGCTTTATATTATATTTATTCTGTCTGAAATTTATTATTATATATGATATACAATAGAGGTCAATTTTTAAATTTTCTTCCAGTTGGAGAATCAGTTGTTCTGGCATCATTTATTTTTTTAAGAAGCAAACAAGCAAAATATCCCACATATGTTCCTTACTGTATGAAATCTACCACTGCATTAACTTCCCTTACATTCTGAAACCTATTTCTGGATTCTGTGTTGTGTCTCTTATGGTTCAGATCTAAAATGTCCCCCACAAGTCTCATGTGCTCAAAGGTGGGGCTTTACAAAAGATTAGTTGATGATGGGGGCACTATACTCATCAGTGAACCAATTCATTAATGAGTTCATAACAAAATGTGCTGTTAGGAGGAAGGGTTTGTTCTTGTCTCTTCCCTTTTTTGGCTGCCAAATGCTGAGTAGCTCTCCCCTTCCAGTTTCTTATCCACACCATTTCTGCCTTGGAGCCAGTTAATCACAGACTAAACCCTCTAAAACCGGGAGTCAAAGTAAACATCCCCTTCTTTAGGTTGCTGGGCTCAGGTATTTTACCCTAGTGATGGAAAAATTAACTAATACATTGCACTACTAAATATTTTTGTAGTGTCCTAATAGCTGTTACTCATTAAAACACTCCTATTGTTTATTATTTCTTTGTATAGTTTTGTGGTTATTATTGCATAATTGTTCTTTCAAGTGAACTTGTTTATTTTATACAAAACTAAAACTAAAAACCAAAACCCTCAAATTGCCATTTATAATCATAAATATATTAAATTTATTTATTAATATTGGAAGGATTTTATATTGATAATAATTATATATATTTATAGGGTACAATGTGATTTTTGTGATATGTATACAAATTGTGAAATTACTAAATCAAGCCAGTTAGTGTAACTATTATCTCCCATGCTCATCATTTCCTTGTAATGAGAATATTAAAAATCTACTTTTTAGCAGTTTCAAAAAGTTTTACTATTACTACTAACTAGTTATGATTCTGCACATAACACTCATTCTACTACCTCATTGAAATTCTATACCCTTTGATCAACATTGTGAGTGACTTAAAAATATTGAAACTTCTCATCTAAGAACATGTTTGTGCTTTCATTAATTACTTATGTCACCTATGGATATTGAATAACTACTTCATATAAGTTTTGCATCTTAGTTTTGAATATTTAGTTTGGTCTTTTATGGTTTGGTGAAAATTACATATGATATGTTTTCTCTATTTGTATTTGTAAGATGTTAATTTTTATGTTTTTCTTTTCTATCTAACCATCTTATAAAATTTTACTGATTTTATGCTTTCTCTCTTTAATCTGGTAAGTTTTATACAAATACAATCATAAGATCAGCAAAATATGCAGTTTTATCTCATATTTTTCCATATTCATAACAGCTATTTCTCTCCTATTGTTCATTTTCTTAAAGTTTTACAGCAATACTTTAAGAAAAGTAGTGACAATATATTTTCTTGTCTATTTTCTGATTATAATTAAATTTGTTAACATTTTTCCACTTAAATTGTTGCTTTGGGAGTAAATAATCTTTGTTATTATAATGGAAGAACTTCCTTCTACTTTTGTTTTACTTAAACTCTATAGAAATATTTGCTGAATTTTATCATGTCCCTTTCAATCACCATTGTCATGATTGCCTAATTTTAAAATTTTCTTTAAGTTGTGAAAGACAAGGTGGGCAAGTGTCCTTACACTGAGCTACCCTTGCTTTTCTGTAAATTTCTTCCTTGATACTCTTGTAAATTCCTAGTGAAATCATTATCAAAATATCTCAAATGTTAATATCTACTACTTAATAAAAGGGCTCTGTGATCAAATTAATTGGAGAATTATTGGACCAAATAAAGTTAAATGTTACTTCCCAGAACCTTTGAAACTAATATGAATTGTCAATCGTTAAGAGGAGATTATAAAACAAAGTATCTGCTGAACTTTATTGGACCACCTATTTTTCATGACTGGTCCCATGGGACTACATTAAAGCTGAACACATTTGTATATGCATAAGTGGAGGTTGATGCTCCGATTTGCAAATATTTTCAGCACACAAAAGCAATTAAGTCATGGTGGTAAATTAAAAGTCTTAACTATGGGATGCCAAAACCAAAACCTTGGAGAAAAATAATTTAAACTGACATTTCCTACCAACTGTACTTATTTTTGTTATGCTAGATTTTTTGCTAAAGTAGACTCAAATTATTGATATTTGACATGATGCAGACCCATGTTAGAATAAAGATTGATCCAGGGGCTAGATGTAATCCCAGGTCCAGCAGTGTTAAACATGATGCTAGGAAGTAATGCAGCCACACCTGTACCCACCCCACTCTGTAAGCTGACCCATGGTATCAGGATGGGGGCTTGCCCTTTGCACTCACCGATGACATATTCCACCCTGAAGAGGTCCTTCCTTGGGTCATATGGACGATCGAAGTCAATCTGGACGTAGAAAGACTGCCCTCTCCGGACAATCAACTTGTTGTTGTCATACTTGTCAGTGTGGTGATCGATCTTGTTGCTGTCCCATTTCTCTTTGAATAAGTGAACATCTGTGACAGTAAGGTAGTCTGAACATGGAGAAAATTGAAGGAAACCATTAAGCAACTTTGGTTTAAACACAAGCTCAAAAGTCAAAAGATTATTTTTCCTGAAGATGGAAGGAGTAATGTCTGTTGAATTGAACTGTATATGGGGAAGGAGGAAACAGATGATTTGTGAGTCAGCCTCTTGTGACATTATTGCTTTGGAAGAGAGCTTTTAAAAAAAACCTTTTCTGTCCCATCATCTCATTTCAGATCATAGGATACTCACTTGGGGAGAGACAGATGCCTGTCTTACAGATCTAGACACACAGAAGCAAGGGCCAGAGTTCGAGTTTTCAGATTCTTAGCCTCATGCTGGTTTTTGTTATGTTAGTCTCTTCTCATCATGACTGTACCTCCCGATGGGACACAGTCACTGTCAATTTTCAATGTGACAAAGCCTCAAAGGGTTGCTCTAAGGACAAAGTTGGCCGTTAATCCAAAATCCTCTTACTTTAGGAAAGGTCAAATGTTCTCTCTTTTTGTAATTCTAAAAGTAGATCTGGTCCCTCAAAGACAGGAGAAGAAACTTGTCTGAAGAGAGGAAACTACCATTTCTATGTGATAAGTATGATTTGTACAGGGAGAAAGCAACCTTGCTTTTCTTAACTACTCTATGACCCATCTGGATGTCAAACTCTGGTATGTTTCATGCCATAATTTATAGGCTTTTCCTCTGCCTTTTGGAATCAGGAGTGTACATTCTGTAATGCATTTGCTAGTCATTTAATTTTGAATATGTTGCTTAAACTCATTTTTTCATTATAAAATAAGGACTCCAACATTTATTTTACAGACAAACATGTTCTGTAACAGCAATGTGCAGGAAATGACATAGAGGAAAGGGACATGAGATGACATGGATAAAAGGAGCTAGGAAGAATCTGATGCATGATAGCCCTGAATAGAGTTTAGCTTCCATGCTACTACTTTTGCAATCTTTTCTGTGAATGATTCCTTTATAGGAGGGTAACAGTACCTGTCTACACTATAGTTTAGCAGACAGAATCTGAAGACTGATTTCTGTATGTGTATTTAGAGTTCTACAGGGGTATTGTGGAGAGAATGTTGGATGGATGCATGGGGAAACTTGGTCTCCTGCCCTCCTTTCCTGCTCCTGACATGCCTGCTACTTGGTTAGCCTTGAACACGGCAGACACAGTGCTGATAAAGCACAGCTGCTAGGCTTGTACGCACACAGAGAAATCTTTGCTGTTTACATAGGAATACCATGCAAGATCTCTGCTCCCTTGGACCCTATTTTTCCTCATAGGTAAAACCAAAGAATCAGATTCTTTAAGATCCTCTCAAGTCTAGGAAATGCTGACAGTCTTGATAAATTCATCATACAGGCAATACCAAGTCTGACCGTCAGGTCTCCAAGTGACCTAGGTAAGGTACTTCAGCTTCCAGATTGAGTTTTCTCACAGTTAAAATAAGGATTCCAAACCCTTGAGAAATTCTATGAAGACTGAGTGACACACAACACAATGGGTCTGATAAATAGTGGGACTCCAGGTGTAGTATGGCTCATGGAGCCTCAGTTATGATGAAGCCACTTTACATGGTGTGGTGCTCCAAGAGTTACTGTGACTGAGGCACTACAAACAACAGAAAGTGCAAGATACACCTTTATTTTTACCTCATCTCAGAACCCAGTCATATTACATGGTCTCTCTGAAGGGTATTTGCTTTCTATTAATGCTGTGGGCTGAAGTTGACTAATTTTTCTAGACCTCTCTGTTCTGAGCTACCTTCATCCTAAGTTGTCTGGCTTTATTAAGTGTAAGCTTAATAATTAAAGGCCTAGTATTATACAAGCCTAAGAACCAGCCGGAGAAACAAATATCCCAAGTGACACAACTTTGATAATCAGCTCCTCTGGTTCCCCTTATTGGCACAAGGCTTTTTAATAATTTCTTTTTTAAATATCTAAAATCCTAAGTTCTCAAAAATAGGTTTAATTAGTTCTCCATTTATCAGATTCTCATATTGCAGCCTCATGAAATCTCAGGGGCAAAGGTACCTTCGGGGCCATCTGGTAGACCTGACATGTGCTGAGTGAGACCTCTTCATGAAAGCTTAGTACTTGGGCTGCCAGTCTCTTACTGACTGGGGAACTCACTATCTCTCACAGGACAGATGGTGCATATTTAAACAACTCTAGTCCTCTTAAGATGAACATCTGCTTCTTGGTAATTTTTCTTTCTTTTTTTTTTTTTTTTTTTTTTTTTTGATTTTTTTCCAGTACCAGAAATCAAACTCATGACCTTGTGCTTGCCAGCCGGGTGCTGTGCTGCTGAGCTAAATCCCCAGCCCTCCTGGTAATTTTTCTAACCATCAATTTTGGTCATAACTTCTGCATAAGCATAGAATAAGTCTTCTATTCATTTTATCTAGTGCTCTTTGGGTATTTAAATATGACTCTTTGGTGTCCTCTCAGTAAAAGTCTCCATTCCTTCAATGGTTATTTAAGAAATTGGTTCCAAAATTTTTACCTATCACTCTGTTTTGGAGTATATTTCATTTGTCGATTTCTGTCTTGAACTGTTTTCTCTAGAATTAAGTACATTACCCCTGTTGGTTTCTCCAGTAAACTACAACAAGAACATTATATTTTTTAAAAATAAATTATACATTTCTATTATTTCAGCTCGAGATATCATTAGTATCTTTATCACTCAGGTTTTACTGTAGATTTATATTGTGTCTAGTGAAGCAAAACCCTTAAAAATACACTCTAAAGTCATTTTTATCAATAGTTGATTGAAATTCATTTCAGACCCTTACAAGCCACTTGCAATGTTGCTATTTGGTCATATTTGCTTTTGTAATTGTTTTCTTCTTTTCAGTTCAATTTTAAAACCTTACTTGTTTTACTTGTGTTCATATTAAATTTTACTCATTGAACTGATTCATTGTTCGATAATTTTCAAATAATTTTAGACCCTAAATGTGCACTCAATGCAGTTAATATTCTCTCCAGCTTTCTCCTTTAAGACTTCTATAGTTTGCTATTTTATGTTGCTGTCCTAGACAGGGATATAAATATTGAATAGGCAACTGCCTAATGATTGCAAGCTAGGGAAACACACAACAATAGATATTAAAAATGCAAAGATGATTATGATACAGTGTAATGAGTATGCTGATAAAGGAACTATAGAGTACTGGATGGGGGTAACTGGGAGGAGACTGCAGCCCATATTTGGTGGGATGAAGGAAGATTTGTGGGGGAAAGTATGGTATGAGCAATGATCAGTGAGGAGTACATTGTCCACGTGGAAAGGAAGGTGAGGAATAATGCTTTATGCAGAGAACAGGATGTGCAAGACTGAGGCAGGGAAATTCACGGTTATTTGAGGAACTAGAAGATGACTGGCTGGCTGGAGTATAGTAGGTTGGGCCATATTGGAATATGGTAATTGGCCTGGCTTGCTCTTTCAAGCCTGTAGACCATGTGAAGGGATTTGGATTTTAATTGCACTGGGGATTGAAGGATATGAAACAGTATGAATTATTTTCACCATTAGGTTGATAAATGGGAATCTGAACAGCCTCTAGTGACAAGCAGGAAAGAGGCTGCATGGTGTCAGTGCTGCAGGCCAGAAGGCCAGCTAGGAAGCACTTGCTATATTCTGGGTGAGAATGGAAGTAAGTTTAGTCTTCGTATGGAAAATGAATAGCCTGGCTCTGGAGCACTCCCAGGATTTGTCTGCTTTTACTCCTATCTCCCATAAGATACTGTGTCCCCCAAAATGCACATATTAGTTTTACATCTTGGCTTCCCAAGTAGCTTGACCTACTGGGAATGATTAAGTTGGAAGGTATTTCTCTGGTATCTGGTTCTTACCAGTCTGATGGAAATGGAAACCTGAGCCTAGTGAGCCTGGCTAATATCCAGTGAGTTTGGTTAAATTCAGTTCATCCTTGCAGAATGCAGTGCTAGTTCTGTGCAATATTGGTCGGTACTGGAAGTAAGCACCATAGACTAGTTTTGGAAATGCTGACACAGTCAAAGTTAACTAGATTCCAGCCTGCAGCCTTGATGGGAGACTCCTATATTTTGACACATACTGAAAAGCTCCTAGAGGTACAATAGTTCCCACACTTAAATGACCATAGCAAATTTCTTATCTGGAGATTGTATTTTGCAGAATATACTGTGGGAGATGCTTCACTACTTACCAATTGCCCAGCCTCAGGAAAGCTACTTAATCTCTCTCAGCTACTGTTTCCTTTTTATTTTTAATATGGTAATAAAATACCTACCTCACTGAGCACCCATATTCTAGTAAGTTCTCAGTAAGTGATCTTCATTATTATTGTTATTCTTGTTATTATTAGTGTGATTATTCAGAGACATAGAATAGTACGGGGAATAAGAACCCAGGTTTTGGAGCCACAGTGTCTGGACACAAATCCCATCTCTGCCACTTACTCTATATATGACCTTGGACAAATTATATAAAGTTCTTATCTGCTAAATGGAGTTGATGTGATGATTACATGAGAAAATGCACTGAGTAAGTACTCAATAATTGATAGCAATAACAATAACACCAAGTACCCAGCAGACACTCATAGCACCAATGAGTTAAAAAGCAGGTATCTGAAAGGGCGTGGTGGAAGGCTGGAACCTGAGCAATGTGAAGCCACCCTGGAAAGCTTTCCAGAAATTTTCTTTCACCCATTTCTGCAAGCTTAATCAGTTATGTTCCTTGTCTTCTGAGCAGACATGCTTGTTTTGCCTTTTCAGTAATGCTCAAGGTGAATGGAATATTTCTGTCCTCCTCATACTTACATTTCTCTCTTCTTAAAAAAATGTGTGTATTTTCATTAATGGCTTTGTATTTCCTTTACACAGGCAGTGTCACCTCCAGGACTATAAACCTTTTGAGGGCTAGAACATGTCTCAGTCATCTTGTCACTAGACTTGGGGCAATGTGCAATACGTCACAGTGAATGTGCCAATTTTCACTTGA